TGAAACAAATCTTTATTATGTGATTGAAACGTTCTCAGTTACTCTAACTTACTTTTATTAAAAAGTTTAATATGTTTTTATTTCTTCCAAGCAGTAGATAAAAAGGTGTCATACAAATATTGATTTAAAATCCTAACAAGTTTGCCCTCTTTTCTAAATCTTATTTTGCTCTTTGAAGACAAATATACGCTTTCATAGACTTTCATGTGTGTGTTAAGATTATTTTATGTCAGGAAGTAAATCAGTATTCTTTTTATTTTGAGGAAGAAAATTATTATTTTGCAGATCTACATGAACAAATAAAATGCAGCAATGCAATGTATTATCTAATTTATTGAAATTAGTATTAATAACTGCATATCATATAAAGTGTACTTGAACTCAAGTATATCCCCTGAGAAAATCTGCCAAGCAGAAATAATAACACATGAAATTCTATAGCTTGAAAAATTAACTAAAAATAAGATTAAAATGAGAATATACTTGATTTAATAGTATCAAATACATATTACAAGTAGGAAAACATAACAGTTTATGGAATAAACATAAAAGTCTACTAAAACTAAAAAAAAGTCATAATTTTTAAATTACAAATTCCAAGCTTCTCAAATCCCAAACAACAACTAGAGCTTTAAAGTTAATGGTTACAATTTACAGTTCTAACAATGACTTCTTGCAATAAATAATCCACTAACGATAATTTTCTAGATTGACCACTAAAGTAAAAACTCCACTACTTTTTTCATGGCTGTACAGAGAGCTTACTTCCTTGCCATATGTATTTTCCATATAGCTCTATCATATCTCTATTCCCCAATATATTTTGTTTGGAAATTTCAAATGCAGTCCTTGCTCTGCAGCGTGTCTCGCTTTCATTCTTCACTGAGGGCTAGTCCCAAACTCACTGTCTCTTTGAGCCTCATAACTAACCTGATCCCCATCCCAACTCTGGCAGTCACATTTCACTTCTTAATTTATAGACAACAAAGAACCATCCCTCCACTTTTAGTTCTACTATTCATAGACTTCCATAATCTCCAGGCACGCTTTTCTCTTTGAACTTACTACAGTATATTATACTTACAATAAAAAAATAATGAAAACTGACTAAATAACTATGGCCTGCCAAGTATTTGCTATGCAGTTTACAAATAGTAACTCATTTAATCCTAACATAACCCTCTGAGTAGTTCCTAGTATTATCTCTATTTCTCAGAAAAGAAGACTGAGGCCTGGAGGCAGTAACCTGGGGTCCAACCAGTGAGTATAGCTCACTGTTACCCGCCAGGGTGCCTTCCTTGGACATCAGTACATGCCTGTCTCCCCACCTGACTGTGAGATCCCTAAGTTCAGTGGCTTTGTATTAAAACCTTGTATTGGGGCCCGCCCCATGGCCGAGTGGTTAAGTTTGCACACTCTGCTTCGGTGGCCCAGGGTTTTGTCAGTTCAGATCCTGGACACAGACATGGCGCCGCTCATCAGACCATGCTGAGACAGCATCTCACATAGCACAACCAGAAGGACCTACAACTAGAATATACAACTATTCACTGGGGGGTTTTGGGAAACCGGAAAAAAAGAAAAAAAAAAGATTGGCAACAGATGTTAGCTCAGGTGCCAATGTTTAAAATAAATAAATAAATTTTAAAGACTTTGGCTCTCCAGTGCCAGGCATGGTTGCTGAATCACAGTAGGAATTGCATAGTTGCCTGCTAAATTAAATGAAAGGAAGGAAAGAAGGACCTGGAAAGGAAGGAGGAAGAATTAGAGGCACACATGAGTTTTTTAAAGCGATTCACTTGGTATTTTAAACTTTCAGCATTTTCTGAGCCTTCACCCATTTATTCTACCAAAGACAAAGAAGTAAACGAACAACAAAACAAAATGAATTTCAGCCTCCCAAAGCAAACAAGCATATGAACTAAGACCTTATTTCAGCATTACTCATTTCTTCCAGGACACTGAACATAAGACGTCCTGGAGTTTAAAGCACTATTCATTCAGCAAATCATTCATGTAATAAATGTTTATTAAAAACCTATTGAGCTAGGCAATTCCCAGGAGGCTTGCCCTGTTCTCTTTTTGTGGAAGGAAAAATATTATCTTCTAAAGTATACAATTTACTCATTAATTATATTAATTGTTAATTACCTATCTCACCTTTCTGAAATGTAAGCTTCACAAAATACATCACTTCTTTGCTTTATTCACTGATGTATCCTGGGCACATACGATCAGGCCTGACACAGATCACACATTCAATAAATATTTATTAAATGAATGAATCAGTGTGACAAAGCATGAAAGCTGAACAAAGTATGGTGCACTTAGTAATGGAAAGGAATTAGCAGGATTGAGGTCAAATTGGAGACATATAGTGTAGGAAAATGTAGCGTCAAGAGTCATTGAGAATTATGAATAATATTGCCAACCACCAAATGGGAAATACAAGGAAAGAGAGTTTTGGGAAAAAATTGGGGGTTAAATTTTGGCTAGGTTTAATTTGAGTTGCGTGTAGAACATCCAGGTGAATTCCAGTAGGCAACCAAATACGCCTAGCTCCTTAAGAATAACCAGTATGCAAAAGCCATAAGGATCAAAGTATCAACACTGAATTATGAAAGTCAGTATTGGTGGCTGAGTTCACAGTTGATTCTTTGCTACTTAGCCTCTGTTGAAAAAATAAAAATAGTTGGAAGATATGACTGAAACCAAAGATAAAATATATTCGTTAGAACTCAGTTTGTGTGTGTGTGTTTCTGGCTAACAGTAAGATATTTGAAGTATGATTTGATGTGCCCCTCGTTTTACTGATAGGAAGATTGAAGAGAGCTGGCTGACGGTAATTGTCTTGTCCTATCCATTAGGATTATGTTCACTAATTGAGGAATGGAAAGACTGCTGTTGCAAGAGAGAAAAATCTGGAAAAACAGGTCTTATACTGAAGAGAATTATCAAATCAAAAGCACAAGTGAAAATTGAAATATTGACAAGGAAGAGGAACAGAAGAAAGAACTGAGAGAAAATGTATAGATATTCTTTAAGGAACAGAAAAATATTGATGGAACAAAATTGTATGATATTAACATTCTAGGAAAAATATCAGGCAAGCGTATCAGTCAGTGTTCTCCAGAGAAACAGAACCAATAGGAAATTTATATATATATGATCTACATATCCTATCATACATCAAGAGATTTATTTTAAGGAATTGGCTCACATAGTTTGGAGATTGGTAAGTTTGAAAGTCATAAGGCAGGCCAGCAAGCTAGAAACTCAGGCAGGAATTGATGCTGAAGTCTTGAGGCAGAATTTCTCCTTCTTCAGGAAACCTCCATTTTTCTCTTAAGGCCTTCAACGTGTTGGATGAGGCCTATCCACATTATCAAGGGCAATATGCTTTACTTAAACTGAACTGGTTATAGATATTAACCATAATCTATCAATACCCTGATTTGAGTTTGATTAAATAAACTGAGTACTATAGCCTCACCAAGTAGACGCATAAAATTAACCATCACAGGAATATTATATGCAAAGTTCAGGTTGAGTAAGAAGGCAAAGGATACAGCTGGTCCAAAGTAGCTGCCAGTATGTATCTTCCATTTGTTGCGAAAGGTAGAGGAAAGAATGTGAGAGTGGGAGACAGGGCAGTGCACCAGTCATGAAGACAATGGCTGGTGAGAGTATAAAGCAGGGTGCAGGCGTGTACCAGGAAGATCACTGGATCAGGAGGCACAACACCTGGTTTCCAATGTCTCCTTTATTAGTTCTTTTAATTTGGTCATACGTAATATTTCTTTGAGCCTAAATGGGAATACTTATACCTCTTTCACCTGCATCAAAAGACAATTTTTCAAGTCAAATGAGATGATTTTAAACTGTGAAAGATTTTAAAATACATAGATCTTTACATACAGACAGTTTTCGACTTATGATGGTTTGACTAATGATTTTTTGACTTTACAATGGTTCAGAAAACAATATGCATTCAATAGAAACTGTACTTTGAATTTTGATCTTTTCCCAGGGTAGTGATATGCTATACAATACCCTCTCATGATACTACGCAGCAGCGGCAGTGAAGCACTGCTCCCAGTCAGTCATGTGATCATGAGGGTAACTGAGTCATGTGCTTACAACCATTCTGTACCCAGGCAGTCATTCTGTTTTCACTTTCAGTACAGAATTCAATAAATTACATGAGATATTCAACACTTTATTATAAAATAAAGGCTTTGTGTGATGATTTTACTCAACTGTAGGCTAATGTCAGTGGTCTGAGCATGTGTAAGGTAGGCTAATCTATGATCTTCAGGTTAGGTATATTAAATGCATTTTTGACTTACGATATTTCCAATTTACAATAGGCTTATCTGAACGTAACACCTTCCATCAGGAAGATCTGTATACGCATTTATTATTCCTATTATTACCACTGTAAAGACTTTACAAGGAGCCAGACCTGTGGCTGGGGAGTTAGGTTTGCACACTCTGCTTTGGTGGCCCAGGGTTCACTGGTTCGGATCCTGGGCATGGACCTAAACATAGCTCATTAAGCCATGCTGTGGCTGTGTCCCACATGGAAGAAACTAGAATAACTTACAACTAGGATATACAACTATGTATTGGGAGTCTGAGGAGAAAAAAAAAAGAGGAAGATGCAACAGATGTTAGCTCAGGACCAATCTTTCTCACCAAAACTTTAAAAAAAAAGAAAAACTTTACGAGCAGAAGTCTATGTTACTCTGATAGAGTTGGACTTGAGTGAACATATGAACTCAAGAGATGCATCAAATTCATCAATTCAAGGACAAGGATATTGTCCTTCAAAGGATATTGTCACCAAATGCCGCTGTCCATTTTATGCTGCCTACTTTGTTCCCTCAGTCTTGTCTATTGGGGCTGCACAATTAGAGACCACTACGGTTATAACAAAGCATCAATATCAAGCTTAAATTCAAATTATGGTCTGAGTGAATATGCATTTCTTTTACCAGATTATCGTGATCAATATGGAAGTAAAATCTACAAGTTCAAATGAGACTTAGAGTTATTCTCTGAAGATTTAGCAACAAAGACTGCCAAGTGTTTAATCAAAAGGTGATTCATAGTTTTAATCCTATGTTATTATTCCTTCTTCTAGCTTTAGGAATGTTTTAGTAATCAAAATGTCTACATGGAAGACAAACAATTTGAAAGTCTTGAGTTATTAGAGGTTCACAAATTATATAAGCAAACCACATTGAAGCATAATTAATAGCATATATTGTATTGTGATTAATGGGTTGAGGGAACAGTGGAAAAAAAATGCTTTCTTTTTTCCCAATAAAAAGAGAAACATCTTTGTGTATATATTCTTCACTTTAACATATTGTGGATCAGAAAAAAAGCATTATCATTGCTATGAAATTGGGAACAAATTTTCTGAGCCCAAGTGAAGGGCACCAACAATAAGGATTAAAATCTATACAAGTCTGACACAACAAAACTATAGTCCAATGTAAAATTTATGAAAATACACATGCTAGCAAGTAAATAATTGTGCTTTGATCAGCAAAAAAAAAAAAAGTTTAGTAAATAGTTCTTTTAAATTACTACATTGCTAGTATATTTAACTATTTATTTGCAGATGATCATTTGTTTGGTATAAAAGCCGGAAGGTATCCTAGGTGAGAGACTAAAAGAGTTAGAAGTCTATGCCAATTAAAGTTTCATAACAAAATGATACTGCATTTCTGAAATTGAAATGAGGGAAATATTGCATTAGAACAATTTGGGTTACACTCAAAATTTCAGAAACGTCCTAACTGGGTAATGTGAACTCCGTGTACCTGTATTGATCCAATAGAAGCCTTTCTTAACTGGGGTTCTCCCAAAAAGCAGCTTCCTGAGAAGGGTTTGTGGTCAGGTACTTTATTTTAGGAAATTTTCCCAGTGAAAAACTGGGGGTGAGGGCTGGAGAAAGGAAAACAGGAGAGGAGGGGGGAAAGTACCACTGTGGAAATTGGGGCTTAGTGCTTTCAGGGACCCTGAGAGAAATCATGTAGAATTCACCACAGAATTGTAGAGCTGAGACCAGTGTAGAGAGGAGTGTTTCTTCACAGCTTCCACTCTGCATTGGTCAAAGGTCCCTTGAAGATGTGAATTCTATACCCTTCCAGATGTGTACATGGGCAGGCTTTTATTCTGCCACTGCAGAGAAGCCCAGGGAGAAAGCAAGAGAAACAGGGTGCAGCTGAGGCCAGACACTATCAAGCTCACTTGAGCTCAGTTGGATGCTGACAATGGCAAATAGATGTGGAGCTAGAGGATGCACGACGTCTGTAAGGTGTTTGCCTTCTTCAAATAGTGGCACAGCTTAAAGTCAACCTGGATGGCAATAGAAAAGGCCAATTTTTCTCAGAGAACTTTGCTTCATTTCCAGCAGTGTTAGGTAAACAGATTCACTGACTTTAGATCAGAAGTCTCCTGGTCAAGGCATATGCTTCTTTATATTAGGAAAGAGAGACTCTTAATGTTTTAATACCATGCAAATCAGAGCAGGATGAGACCTAAGTCTTTCCTTTCCTAATTCAGGGCTTTTTTTAATACATATTTGAGATTCATTTGTTTGTTCATCAGTAAAAATAGAATTCCTTCTGAATACTTGTAGGCACCATGCTGGATGCTGAGGACACAATGGTGAGAAATTAGACGTGGTCTCTGCAACGAAGGAAAGACAGAGAGATAGAGAAAGACAGAGAGAAGGAGAAAGAGAAGGAAGGAAGGAAGGCAAATTTATAATTACAAACCATGTTAAGTGCTCTGACGGAAATATCTAGGGTGCTAATTTGTGAACTAACTACATAGCAATGACTGAACAAGCCTCGCTCATTTGATTCCACACACTGCAGCCTGTTGGTGTTTATCTGTTTCAAGTTAGAATGGTGTCGTTAGGGTTTTTTTAGCATTTACTACTACTAATAGAGCCACAAAAGAAATGTCAAATCAGTTTTGCCTCAAGATACATAAGGAATTATTTCTTATGTTTATTTTCATTTTCCTCCATCTTGAAACATTCTCTTCCCTCAGCTTTCATAACATTACACTCTCTCCTTTTCCTCCCACCTTCCTGACCATTGGTTTCATTTTTTTTGGCTTTTAACTCTTCCTCCCAATTTCAGTGTTGCAGTTTCCTGAGCAGGTTGTGTCCCTCTCTCCTTCTCCTCTATCCCCTCCTTAGGCATCCTTATCCATTCTCCACGGCTTTAAACACCAACCGTACACAAAAGCTGTACAGTTGTGTATCTTTGATCTAGATCTCTCTCTGAGCTCTGGGCATTGTATCGGATATTTTCACTTGGATATTTCAAAGGAAATAGAACAAAACCAAATGTATGGTTTTCCGTCAGTGCGGGTCCTCCTCCTTAGCACCTCTCTCTTTCTCCGTTGATGAGCATCACAGAACACCAACTGTGCAATAATCACCATTTTACAAAACATCATTTTGTAAAATACCCTCTCTCAAACTCCTCCCTATCCATGCTGTAACAAATGAATATCTATTAACTCCTTTCTGTTCTCTTTTTTGCCCTCACCATCATCCCAGTCCAAACTCCCAACCCCTCTTTCTTGGATTACTACAGCAACTTCCTACCAAAGATGCCCATTTACAGTCAATGTGGTTTTCCATACCACAGCCAGAATGTTCTTTCTAAAATGCAAATTCTGGTTGTATTTACCACTTGTGCCCTTTTCCCTTCTCTTGATTAAAATGTCAGTGGCTTCCCATTGCATTTCGTGTGAAGGCTAAAATACACAGTCTGTCCACCGCTTGCTTTTCACATCTCGTCTTTCCTCATTCCCACCACTGGGTCTTTGCTCAGTGGAATGTTCTTCCGTTTTTCTCCTCCCCTCCCCATCCCCCTTCGTGCACGAACACCTACTGCTCGTGTAGGTCTCAGTTCAGTCCTCACTTCCTCTGCAGTGTAATTCCTGACCTCCCTAATTCAGCAGTACACTCCTAACGCCTTCTTCTCCTTTAAAGCACTGAGATTCTTGTCATTTCATGTTTTCATGAAACTACTTTTCATGAAAAGAATTCTGTAATACTTTGAATAATGCTGTCTCCCCTCTAGAATGTAGGCTCCTAGGCGAGGGCATTCTCCCTGTCTCACTGTCATGCACCATGTGCACACACGCACACACATACACACACACACACACAAACACTCCACAGTCACTTTTCTCATCTTTAGGTCTTCAGATCCCAGAACAATATTAGATGCAGAATAGGCTCTTAAATACTTAGGTGAATTGATGAATGGTATCCAAACTGAGTGCAAATATAAACTTGATATCAGTTTGTTCTCCTTGAGATTGTATGAACCTAAGTGAACTAGATTTTGTTCAAAGTATAAGTAGGTAGTGCATATGAGTATAGGATGGTGATATGTGCATTCAGCCAAAAAAAATGAATGAATATTTCCTGACGTAAATCAAAAGTCAATTTTTCTAATCCCAGTCTTAATCAATACATTAAAGTTATATTAAAATAATTTCATTATAAATGCAGACATTTCTAGTACCATATACTGAGGCTAAGACTATACTCAACTTTGTTTAATGGGATTTGGTTACATTCCAGCCAAAACAAATGTTATCTGCTTTCACCACATAGAAGATATAAGGAATGGATCTTAGAAATCCTGTCACAATTATCAATATGAATACCTGAATTTTATATCTTTAGGAAAAGGTCAAATCTCTCTAACAGCTTGTGGTTCCAATCTCTCCCTTCTCGCCTAATAACAAGAAAAGTAGCCACCTATTCAGAAGGTTTAGTGATGTTATTTAAATTCCATTAAAGGTACAGGAGAATGATCATTAGATTCCTGGAGCCATGATTACTGAAGGCTGAAGTTCTGGTTTTGGACACTTGTAGATCAGGAGAAGGAAGCATGAGCAGAGAAAGATAAAGAGGAAAGAAGGAGGGGAAATTTTAAAAAGAAAAAAGGAAGGTAACGAACAACCAGGTGGAGATTTTAATCCATTAGCGGCATCTTGGTGATAACATTTGACAAGGCTCCATTCCGAAGATTAGGGCCTATCTCCTGAGGAAGAGAAAGAATATGAGCACATCCACTTCGCTGAGAATCTTTTTACTTTTCACAGGGCCAGCCCACAAAGGGACATTGACTTTCAGTTCATGATAAGGGTTGCAGTTGTGCTCGTGAAATGAAAATACTATAAGAGTCATCAAATCAAAAGAAAGAAATACAGAAAGGAAGGAAATATGCCTTATTTTTTTAAAAAATACATACACCTAAATACATATACCACGTACACCTAAAATATATGCCTCCAAACACATAACTTTCTTCCTAGCTTTTCTATTTCAAATTTCAAAGGCAGGACAAATGCCCATACAATAGGGAACAATTAGAAACTACAATATAAATATGTATTTTGTGGTCTTTGCTAAAACCTGCGTTTTGAGTTTTACTTCATGGTGACTGCTTTAGAAATGTCAGTGCTGCAACAGAGTCAAACTTTTCATAATTTGATCTATGGCCAAGACTGGTGTGGCGTTCATAGAACTGTTTTCATTTCTTTTAATAAACAATCGCTGATTGCTCCTACAATTTAAAGAATTCCAAATATGAATAAATATTTAATACACTTTTCCCTTTTGACTGATCAATGCAAGAAAGATATGCAGGAATTTAAAACAAACAAAACAGTCTTTTCCCGACACTGAGAAGAGGCCTCTGGAATTATCCTTAACGTATAAACATCAATGGAAACATTTGGAAAGGAACTTTTCTTTATCCACTTAAACTGAAGTGAAGACATTAGGTAATTATTTTAGAAATACCAAATCATGTTGATTGACTTTCTCTACCAATTAAATTTACTAGCTGACTGCTAACTATTTCACCTGATTTTTTTCCCTAGGATATGAGTTTTCAACTAAGTAAAGGAACTATGAAAAATTAAAGCGAAGATAAGACTGAGTACTTACTACTTGATACATGTTGACTAGCTATAGTTTGGTCTAACATGTGCTCAATAAGTATTTAATATTCTTTCAAAGTTGCATTTTACACTATTTAATGAAGCTATGCCTGGATGACTAAACTGACGTTTTCCTTGAAATGAATGTCCCAATCAGTTCCACAGGAAAGGAGCGTATATGTCATTGATGCCAGGTGATCTACGAGAAATATACTTCTCCTCTTTTCCAGCTCTCTATGTCATTTTGATTCTAATTATAGATTTTCCACAAATTGGCAGTCACACACACATACACAAAATCTTTATGAAGCTTACAGTCTATCTCTGCGGACTAGAATGGAAATCTTTTCCTCTGTTAATCTATATAATCTATACAGTTGGAAGTAGATACTAATTCCAGTTTTCAGTTCCCAAAATTGAATTACTTTGCTTGCAGGGGTAAAAATATGTGGTTTATTGACTTCTGTGCATACACACACACACACACACACACGCACTCTTCTGTCACATACAAAAGAGATACTCTCTGGAGCCTCAAATACTCCCTTCAGCAATACACATTTAACCTCCATTTAGGTCAATGAGAACTACAGACAGGTACAAGGGCCTGGGGAGTAGGAATTTTTAGCAGGCAGTTGTTATTAGAACAGAGAGTTTAGAGAGCACCTCACAGAAGAACCAAAGGTGACTTCACCTTAAATCTTCGCTTTGAGCCGAGAATGAAGTAAAGACCTTAAAACATTCTTTTTAAAAAACCTATTTTATATATCTAACACTCAGAATTAAAACCAAAATAAGTTTCCACGAGTCTTTTCTCATTTCAACCTTGTGTGCCCGGTGCTGTTATACTCAAAAAATGAAAATTTTAACTACTCTAGGTCAGTCAGTTTGCCAGAAATTCCCCATTAATTTAAATGACTACTTTCTTACATTAGATATGTTCAAATCTCACTCAGATCAAGTGGTTAGAAAAAAAGCCTACATTTCTGGGATCTCACCTAATTTTGCATTACAAACATATTCAGTCTGCAAAACCAGAGAGGAAGGAAAAGTCTTACTAAACATTGGGTTGCAACCAGTAGTTTCCAGAGTTAGTAATGGATAAAATAAATCATGTAAGGTCTCTTTCTGAGGAAATGGTGGGGCATGCCACAAAAGAGTAACAAGAATTGCCTTAGGCATTCTATTTATGATTTTATTTATTCGTTTATTCAATAATATTTATTGAGTACTTATTATGTTTCAGGCAATGTACAAGGGGCCAGGGATACAGTGATGAGCAAAAAGATTTCTGTGCCTTCATTGACCCTATATTTTAGCAAGAGAGACAGGTATTAAATAAACACTGCACAAATAGTTGTGGTGGGATGATATTTTGAAATGTTAATTCATGTATTTTCTATATTTTCTTGGGGTCCATAGACTTTTCTTATTTAATCAATTAATACCTTCTATGATTTTACCTCTGAGAAGGGATGCTGTGACTTAAAGAATAAAATAATTAAAGCAAACAAGTCTGTTCTTAGCTTGGTCCTCAGTAGGAAACAGGAAAATAAACCTCAGATAATAGAAAATGTATTAATTAATGAGGTAGGTAGGACTAAGATATCAAACTTTAAGATGAAAGGTAAAATTTCCTAGAGGATCATAGAGTGGAATTTGAAAGCTAAGATAGATTTCCAGCCCTCTGCTTCCTCCTCCACCTGGTCAGCCTCCAAACAAGGAAAGAACAGAAATATTAGACTCAGTTGGAAATCCAGTGTAAGGAGATCAGTGCGTCCTCCAGGTGGAGTCCAAGATGTTGGTAGACTGCAGGCTGCAAAGTGAGTTGAAGCAGGTGGATCCGAGTCAGCTCAGAGAGTGTTTTGCATCTTATGACAGTAGATTAATTCCCATGTGCTTAAGCATGGTCAAAAATAAGGGGAAAGGCCTCTCAGAGATTGCTGTGACCACACTGGGCCATAAGACTAGGAGGATTTTGCTCAAGGATCCTAGAGGAGGCTGAGAAAGAAGGAAGAAGAGAAAACCACTAGTCCTGAACAAGTTCAGCAGGCAGGACTCAAGCAACCTGTGTGAACTGGAGAGTGGAGTCCAGGACACCAGATAACTCAGTGGTTCTCCTCCTGGCCATGACCCTGATCTTCAGGGCCCTTGTCCCAAAGTCTTGGCTCTGTGTAAGCCCCTTGGTACTTAGATTCAATCCAGCTTTGGGTTATTGTTACCCCACATTCCCTCCACTTACACATCCTTCTCCCCACCTACCTAAAGTCGGACAAAGAGACTGGACACCAGCCTTTTTCTTTTCTCAGCGACCCACACATTCTAAGTTGTCAATGTTTATTTTCCAACTTTTTCACATCCCCAGCCTGAGAAAGTTTTATCTAATGGGCAAAAGGAAAGCTTGACTCTTTACTTATTAGGTAGTTTTCCAAATATTTTGCCGATACCCTGAGTTCTTTCTGCTTCCCCCAAGGAGTAGGCTTTCGAAACTCAAAAATTAAGGCATTACTCATTTTTATTTTGCATTTTAATATGCTTTCTTGTCCCTGACTTCTCTGTAAAGGGCCACGGGACACAAAGAAAAGGGAAAGTATCAGTTAATACTTGAAAACTTTAACCTATCACATAATTACTTATGTACAGTATAATAAGCCATGAATAAAATTACAGAATCCACAGAAAGTATAAAATAGGGTGAAGCAAACTCAGTATTAGAGAATTACAAGGAAAGAAAGAATAAACAATAAAAGAAAGAAAATAGAGAAGAGAGCGTGAATCTGTGTTCAAGCCTGTATGTGGAAGAGGTCTTTCTTCAAAGCTTACGTAGTGTCTTAGTCACAGGGTATAGGAGAAGAGATGGTATAAACAGAGTCAATAACGTTTCCCTCATTTTCATTTTACCTAGTTCACTAGTTAAGGTAGCAACAGAAACAGAATACTCAACAAGGAAACACCAGAGAGCCCCATTAATTGTCCCCTGATAAACATAACTCAGTGGAAATTTGTGTGAATAGATGACATTTTAAAAGGCAAAATCTTGACTATTCTTAGCTGACAAATTCCTTGGAAGCTTCTTAAAGGAATAAGCTGGCAATGCTCTCACATTTCAACTTTAAAATGAAAGGAATCTCTGAACTTTCCTTCTTTAGCAACGAAGTCCTTTAACCCCTTCTCTCCCTCCCATAAAGAAAAAGAAACCACACAAATAGTCTAGGATCCTGAGTATATATATGCCCCTCTTTGCCCAGAGCCAGGTATAACTTGGAATCTGGATTCACCCTCCGTATATGATTTGCCAAGTTTAATACTTTTATTTTCCTCTTTATTTTAGATTGCATTTTCTCACGATAAAAATGGATAGTTGTGGCTTGGAAAATGGGAAACTGGACCAACTATGAACTAGAGCAAAGTTGAAGACAACTCTAAATGTTTCGAGAGTATTTTTGGTAATTCCCTGAGCTTTCCTGACAATTGGTCCTTCTACCCTCACTGCATCCTGTGGGATAATGTTACATACCCGAAGTCCGGGAGGCAGCACGGTGCAACTTCAGGGGTAGTAGCAGTTTTCCTTTTTTGTTTTTTTTTCAATTAAACGGTTTTTCCGAGAAAACCTAATTATTTAATAGTGTTGTAGCTCTGAAGTTGTGAGTTGATTCGAGATATTTGGAGTTCTGGTTCTGTGAGGCTTAGCTACATGTGGCTATTGGATCACATATCCGCTCCCCTGCCATGTAAGATGAAAACACGTTGGAATATAACTATTGGTTGGCTTTGTGGTGTTGGGTGAGTGTGCCAGTCTGAGGTTAGAGAAGAGATGGGATCCCAAGCCCTGGGCTTTGTATTATATAGTATTGTATTTTGATGTTGTACTTAAGGGTCAATTACTGTTTCCATTATAAACCTTGTTTTTCAAGGGTTTATAACTCACCAATTTTCATTTTGGTATGCAAGCTGCATGAATATACAGGTTTTAAAAATAGCTTAAATTGGGCAGTGCCATTTTTAGATAGAAAGCAGTAAAATGCACTTTTCATTGGTTTCAGTTTGTTTTGGAAGTTTCCAATCTAAAAGTTTATTCTATCTTAAAATGCAAAAATGCATGTTTTTTCATGCCTTTTCATAACTGATTTGCATAGGGGAGGTGGTTAAAGGGAGCCAAGGGAGATAGCAATGAAACTTCAAGAGGAAAACAAATAAAATAGCTCTTTGCTTGTGAAGATATATGGGTAAATGACATTTTAGTCAATGTTCTTCAAAACCAGCAAACTAACCAATCAATATCCCCTGAGCATGGGAACTATTTCATGCCCCATGCTGTGTCTGATACTGTGAGGAATATAAGAGCTCCGTGCTCCCCATGTACTTGAAATCCTAGTTAGAGAAAAATGCAAAGACAGCAATATTAAGCATAACAGCAACATACCTTGAAGCATTAAAGTGACAAATCATATGGCCAAGACTTTAAGAGGCAAAGGCAAAGCCTTACAGAGTTGTGTGACTTACTGGTGTCCTGAAAAAAGAAAGAAAGATTCCAATGTATGGGTAATTGCCCAGACATGGACATTTTCCTCTCTAGGGTCATGCAAGTTTTAGAACACTTTCCAGGACCATCAGGATTAGAAAATCCCTCATTAAGGGCGAAATTGTTTTCCCTGCCATCGTGAGTGTTTCCAAATTATATAAGCAAATTTTCTCTTGTATTATTATGAGCTAAACTTCTTAAAATGGTCGTCTACACAAGCTATTTTCATGTCACCCAACTCTCACTCAATCTATTTCAGTCTGGTTTCCATCACCACCACACTGTTCATACTGCTCTTGCCAAAGTTACTGATGACTTCCTTGTTGCTGCTGCCAGTAGAGAAGACTTTGCTTTTCTCTTTTCTCTTGATTTATTTCTATTTAGAAGATTGCCCTAGTTTTCCAGCTTTTGCCTCGTAACGATCTTTAGCATTTTTTTGTTCTACCCAGCATCTACTCCCTTCTCCTTCCTAGTGTCATCTCTATTTCCCTTTTGGAGAATGCTCCATTGGTGCAGAGTTTTGGTAAGAGGTAGTGGTTGCTTCCCATTATGGAAGCTGAAGGGACAGAAGCTTATAGTTGATGCTATCCAGTTCTCCAGAGCCCATTTTGTTCATGAGCATTTTCCAAATCTGGTTCTCCATGTTCTCTTCATTTCTGTTATCTCCAAATGTTCTTCAAAAAATTTAAATTTTGCTGAAGAATGATAGTCAGCTTCAGTTGCTTGTAAAAAGAAAGTTGATTGATATAATTCATAACTCTCTGGGCCTTCTTTTTTAGAGCTTTTGTAGATTCATTTTCCTCTGTCTATTCTTTATAAGTTGCAATTCTTCCGGATACTTTATAATGTCCCTTCTCATTTCACCCTACATTATTTACCTGGGTTATTTCAACCACTCCTTTGACTTCAACTCTCACCCATGTGCTAATGACTTCTAAATCTATCTAGTCATTCCAAATCTCTCCTTTGATCTTCTTATTTCTTTCTTCATACCATTTGCTCTTTCATTTATTCTACAAATATTTAGTGAATTCCTAACATGCAACAGATATAAAACAGGCAATGGAGTAACAATAAGAAACAAAGTAATAAGGTTTTCCATTTAATGGTAGTTAGTCTAGTGGGTTCCATAATCTAGTGAACTCCACAATTCCATAAAACTATAATGTAATGGATGTCATAGTCTACTGGATTTCATAGATGCCATTTAATATTCAGCATCTTCACTTGGAGATCTCAAAAATAGTGAATTCATCATCTTTCCTTGATGTCTGCACTTGTGTATCCCTCCTACTGGACTCCCTGTTTCAATGAAAGTATTCGATTGGTAATTCTAGGAACCTTAGCATCACACTAACTTTTCCTCTTCGCATCATCCCTATCTCTGCATCAACCATTAAAGCCTATTCATTCAACTTTCTCAATACGTCTGGAATTTGTCCACTATTTATCATCACTTCTGCTGCTGCCTGTTTAGGTCTCCATTCCTTTTCTTTAGGATCTACACAACGGTCTCCTCACTAGTCTTGGCTTTTGTGTACAAATTGCAGCCAGAGTGAACTTGATAAAATTGAAGCTTATTTGTGTTATCTTTTAGGTAAAACCCTCCAAAGACTCCATAATAATCTCAAAATTAAATGCAAACTTTTTATGAATCCTTCCCTTCTCCTTGCTACCTTTCTAATCTCTCACTCATTTCCCCACATAGTTCTCAGTCTACCTAGCTGAAATTCTCTCACATCAGCAAATGAGTTGTGCTCTCTCTTAACTCTCCTTCTACTTAGTGTGTCTTCCCAGTTCCACATGAATTCCAACCAGGCCAGCTCGACTCATTCTTTAGATAACTTCACTTTTCCTAGGAAGACCCATTCTTCCTACAAGATTGGGTTATGTCCCCTTTTATGAGTTCTTAAAGCATCTTTTTTTTTCCCACATCCTAACATTCACCACTCTGTATCGTTAATTGCCATGTTTTACAGGTAGATTTCACTAGACCGCAAAACTTTTGAAGGCAGAAATCATATCTCCTTCTACATTGCTTTATCCATGGCACACAGCAGGAGATCAGTAAGCATTAGCTAAACAAATGAATCTTAACACTTGCATTATCAAAAGCCCAATATCAAACAGGGAAAATAGTTTTGTTGCCTTTTCGAGGCTTTAAATACTTTGAATCAATTGATTTGACTATCGACAGTTTTATCGATCTGAGTATTATGGCTCTTAATGTTTATGCTGTACTCTATTGCATCATTATCAGGTGATGAAACAGCAACCTGCTCTAGATGCGTCCTTTCGTCATACCTCAGCCACAGCACCTAACATACTATCAATACTCTATTTGCTTTGAAACTAGTATGTTTCTGAAAATATTTTGGAACCCACTAGGATTGGCTGCTTAAGGATTACAGAAATCCAGAGTCCCAGTTATGTAATTCTCTTGCTCATACGGATCCCAAGGACCTATTTTTTTCCTCCATTCCCATTTTCTTCTCCTTTTCATCCTTAATATTCTTCAAAGGTGAAGAAAAGTGGTCCTGAGAAGAGATCCAGAGTGAGAGAATGCTCCCCCGGTCACTCAGTATATAGAAAAGATCATTAAGACATGAAGCTATTTGAGCTCTAAGGCATAAATCCGAAAGATTTACCTTGAGCTGGAGAAAAATAATTGGAAGAGAAATTGTATTGAGTACCCAGTATGTGCCAGGTGTTCCACCGAACTCATCATACTTGGGAGTGTAGATAGACATATGGCTCCTACACATTATAGACCAACATTGTGATACATGAGGATGCTTGATGGTTTCTGAGACCCTTTCAGGGATTCTGCAGAATCAAAAGTATTTTCACAACAATATTTTTTGCCTTTGTTACTCTCGCTCTCTCATTAGTATACGTGGAGTTTTCAAAAGGCTACATAATATTCAATATGACAACTAATTGAATGAAGAAGTAGATATAAGAACCCAGACGTTAAAGAGATTTGCTAAAATATAAGATCGTGCCACCTTCTCACTAAATACTTTTTGTTTGGGAAAATACAGTTATTTTTCATGAAAAATATATTTATGTTAATATAATAGATTTATCTTTTTTAAAGAAAATTAATAGTTTTAAATGTCAGTTGAAATTTCTATTAAGGTAAATACTGATAGATACAACATTCAGTTATTGAATGTCCTCAGTAATTTTCGAGTGTAACAGGGTTCTGAGACCAAAAAGTTTGAGAACAGCTGACATAGACAATGAAATAATCACAAGAGAAGACATCTAGACATCAATGATGTTGCACTGAATATCACTGGAGCTGAAAAAAGTCCAGGTATGGGTGATGCCCAGTTTGGATGTAGTGCTCCATCCTGCCATCTGTCAGTCAGTCTTTCAGGACTGGAGTGTTAGATACAGAGAATCATTATGGTACATCCATGTAAATGTGAGCAGTCAGCTTTCAGTGAGTGCTTGAAGACAGTCCTTACAGGACAGTCATTTCCCCTTTTCTCAGATCATCAATTCAAAGAACATTGTTTTTTGATTCTTATGGAAGTCCACTTTATTGGACATATCTCTATAGTGGATTAAATTTTTATTGAAGTATTCATAAATTAACGAGAATTTTCTGAGCACTTATCTTTCTCCATTCTGTTCCTAGGCATCCTGTTTCAGCTAACTCTAAACATTTGTTTGGGTGTCATGTCCAGGGGCTGTGCAATCAAAGTTTGTAAAGTGACTGGTTGATCAATTGTTGCCTAAAGTCCAGCAGAAAGCATTACTTCATTCTTGGTGGATTAGCCTGTTAACCATGTAGCAAATTACTTGAATAGAAATATTCAACTACTCTCTTATTCAGTGTAACTGCCTCATATTCTGAAAGAGTGAATACAAGGTCAGTGTAAGTGTCCTCAGTGCCTTGGGAGAGGGTTTTAGAGTTTCTCTCTTTAATAGACTTTTGCTAAGAGTAACAAAGGCACCATAAAAAGAACAGTTAACGAAACTTGTTTTCTTCATTACCAAACTTAATATAAATACTTCAACGTGAATGTTCTTGGTTTTTCTTTTTTTAATTATTCATGAAGTCTATCTTTGCTGGAGTTGGGGAGTGGTGATATACAAGAATAATCTCAGAAATGATTGCATTAGGAAAGAGGTAATATAATAATTTTTTTAATCCTAACTAATGTAAGGAACAATTCATGATCCCCAAAAGATACAATACAATAAAATTAAGAATGCAGGTTAATTCTTCATTTGACCTACATTAAATAATTACCACATAGAGGTAAAATCATACATAATTTCATGGTCTCCAGAAAGCTTCAGCTTAAGCAAATGAGATCTTAGATTTTACATTCTGACACCCCTTACTTTTCTTTTTCCCTCAGGTACAAACTCACATTAGGACGTCTCTCCTGCGCAATTAGCAAGGTAGCGGCCTTACCTAGTTGGCATTGCCCCTTTTCATTT